TACAAAGTAGTAACTGAAATATGAAAAACAAAGTTCAATTCTTACCTTTAACTCTTCTTCCATTTCTGACAATTTTCTTTCCATTGCTCTCCTTTCCCTTTTCTCAGCTTCAGATAGGACTGCTTTATTTTGAGCACTTTGTGCTTTGTCCAATAAATTTCTGGCTTCCTTTAATTGTTCATCTGACCGCTTAAGCTTTTCTTTGAGTCTTTCATTTTCTGCTTGAGATTCTTCATACAATTTTTTATAATCTAATTCACCATTTTCAGAAGTTGTAGACTTTATTCTAACTGACATAGAAGGTGTTTCTGATGATAATGATGATATAGATCCTAGCCTGTTAGATCTTCCAGTACGATCATTTCCACTCTATGAAACAAAATTAGACACATACAATGTATGTAATAAAATTAATATGCTTTTGTAAAATTTATTTATAAAAGATATGATACTATTTTATTTAATGTAAAATTTCAATATGTTCTCTTACAATATATCCTTCAGAACTGGCTAAACTTTGTAAACTAGAACTTCTAGATCCTATTTGAATATCTGGTTTCGTTTTCATTTTAGTAAAACTTTCAGTTCTCTGCACTTGAGAATGAGTGTTTGGATTAAGATTTAAATAATTATAACTCGTCGAAGGTGGTAAACGTAAAGAGTTAAGATTTATTGGCAGAGTTATACTTCCATACCCTGATGCAGTTCCACCATATGTAGTGTATGGATTTTGATAATTTAAATTACTTGTAGAATTTGAATAAGGAGTTTTTCTAAATGTTTCATTACTTTTCGTAGTTTTATTCAAAAAATTTGGCAATCCAATAGGATTTCCATTAATGCCTAGCAGACCTGAATAGCTATTTTGATTCAAAGGAAACAATCCACTAATACTTCGTGATCTGTTTCCAAAAATTGAATTTCCATTTGCTGATGCTTGAGCTCTTAAACCTGCAGCTGTTGTCGGTTTTCCTTGAGTTCTTTTTCTATAGGATGACATTGTTTGTAGAATTGATAAAATTACTTTAAAAGCTGTATTGACTTGAATTTATCTTCTTTAAGATTAAATCTGTTTTTATATATTATATTTCAGGAAACTTAAAAAAATCTTTAAAGTGCTATAATTTAATGTTAGATCACTTTTCCACAATATACACAGTTATAAACGATCTAGTTCTAATGACAGCAAGTATTTGACTGACGTAGACTGGGTGGAGGAACTTAAGACATCAGCCAGTTTACTCTAAAGCATCAGTTTGGTATGCTATTTATAGATTACATGCATAAACCTATACTAATACCAAGGTTGTGTGTTTGGAATAAATATATTTGATGTTTCACTTGTTTTATGTTTACTAAATATTGCGAAATATGTATAAATCTGTTCTATAACTTTTATAACATTAATTAGTGCATTAAATTACAGTAGAAATATTTTATCAGAATATTAATTTTTCAATATACACAAATTGTG